CAGCGGCTGAAGGAGCGGTGCGAGCGGCAGGCCCGGCAGCTGGGCCTGGTGCGCGGAGAGCTGCGGAGAGCCATCTGCGGCTTCGACGCCCTGGCCGTGGCCACTCAGCATTTCTTTGGAAAGGTGAGGCCCCATTTGATGAATGTCCACGGGCGGTGGAGTTGTGGGGAGAGGGTGGTGATGGTTCTTTGCGTGTGTATGTGTGTGTGTGTGTGTGTTTGGGTTTTGAGCATTGATCAGAGTTCAGTTTAGATTTTCAGAAGGTCCCACAAAACCTGCAGCATCCTATCATGTTTTGGGAGCCATAATTAGAATTACATGTGAAAAAAATTAATTTGGAAAGAATAAGTAATAACCTTCATTCCAAAAGACAAAATTAGATAGAAAAGGAATAAAAGAACATATGTGAACATTTTTGAAAAAAGTGGAGCATGGTTCGGAGGTGAGATGGCCAGATTCTGACTTGTCTGTGCATTTCTGGTTGAAAGGGACAGGGCCATGCTTACAGTTCTCAGAGCAGCATGGAGTCGGGGCAGGACACTCCCTGCACCTCGGTTTTTCTGAAAATGTGGAGAGGGCTGGTTTCCTCCCAGCCAGTGTCTGGAGCTGCTGGGGCCCTCCAGGCTCAGAGGCTCCCCAGCCCCTCCCCAGGGCACAGAGGCTGGGGGCAGCCTGGGGTCCGAGTGCATTTGTGCTCCATCTGGGCTTCTTCTTTAAGGGCAGAAATGAGCATTTACCTCGGAGATTCACCTGTTACGAATGCACATGTTGGGTTTCACATGTGGCCCTTCCAGAGCTCTCTGTAAATGGGAGGAAGTGAAAGTACTGTATAAATGCTCTCCACATATGAAAGTGAACTGACCACTTGTCTGGCTAATTTAAGAAAGAAAAGGAGAAAGTATGTGGTCCCATCTCTTAGTGGCTTCTCCCTTTACTTGTCATCTGAACCTTCAAGCATGGAGGACCCTGGGCCTCCATGAAGTCCCACATGGCCCCTTCCCTCCAGCATGGAAGCCTGAGCCACTCACCCTAATTGTTCTTTTTTGCTTAAAGCTTCCAGCAGAAGGAGCCATTGATCAGCTTGTCATTAGAATAAATGACAAACATAGACAGCTCTGAAATTTCAGTCTTAGCAGTAGTTTCAGCCTCCTCTCCAGCAAAAATTTTAACACCAGGAAATAACCAATTTGAAGGTCATACCTCCCTTTCTGGTCTAGTAATGTTGGCACCAACCTTGAGGGACCTTGTAGACCCATCCTTGTAATAATGAAGGTGACAAGCACATCTTTTTAAGGTGCCAAAGAGGCCTGACGGGCCATGGTAAGGTGGAGCACTTTTGTTATTAGGGGGAAGGGGCGTGTGTTTTGTCTGCTACCTGGGTGCCTATTTCCCGCTGACTGTCAGGTCTTACATAAAGAGAGGAAAGCGGGTTATTCACAGAAGCTGAGTGATCACATTTACATAGTTACTCTGTCCACTCTAGGACTCCTCCTCCCATGCTGGACAAAGGTTCCATGTGGATGGACACAGCAGTAGACACTGAAATAACATATTGATACTATATATTGTGCTTCACCAATTGGAGCTTTTGGACCCCACCTAGGAGATCCTGGCAGGGAAGAGAATTCTTGTGCCAAAATTAAGGGTCAGTTCCCCATAACTGTGCATTTCTGTGCATTTCTCTGACCCAGCAAGGCAAATTCCTTGCTGGCCCATGGACCACGCGTTTATATCTCTGCAGCACACACGACTCTTATCAGAGACCAGCAAGGGCCAGTGGGTGATTTGTGGGTGTCCCCACGGGGCCTCCCTACTACTGCAGCTGCATTTGGTGTGACATCCTAGCAAGATGGATGATGGGCATGAATTTCATTTTCTTTTCAGTAAATCACAACCAGCAACTCCAACGGGCCTCTAACATGACTGCGGCATTTCACCTCCCGTGGAGCGTGTCTTTTCTCTGTCTTTCTGATCTCTGCT